TGAGCCACCGTGCCCGGCCACATTTTTAGAAATTCTTAAGTGTTTTTAAAATTAATTGTATGTTCTTAAAATTAATTGGATACCTTGTTGGCTGTCTATAACCTGAATAATGGAATTCTTTTCTCTTGCTATATAGGTGCACATTAAAGATCCAAAGTCATGACTGACTCCAAGTATTTCACAACCAATAAAAAAGGTAAGTATGAGAATCTAATGAAATCTTTGAAATTTTTGAAAAGTTGTAGTGTAAGATTGTCTCAAGCAGAATGTTCCTGACCTCTTCTTTCAGACATACATGTAGTAGACAATCTCATTGGACATCTACTACTTCTGCAGATAAATGTATTCAAGAATAGATTTTAAAAGTTAGGGCTGTGATGTACATTATTTTGACTTGAAGGTTGTATGATGTACATTATTTTGACTTGAAGTGAAAGAGAGTCTGCTGTTTGAAATCAATATTGATCCATTGAAGATTGGTTAAGTCTGAGGAGGACAAAAGAAGCAGCACACGTTTTCTCTTTTGTTAAATAACTTTTACTTGGAAATAAACATTTTATAACAAAGAATACAATTAAAGCAATACAGATATGTATATAAAAAATAAAAATGAAAGTTCTCCCTTCCTGTTCCTATTCCCAAGGGAACTCAGTGTATATCCTCAAGTCTTTTTCTATGTGTATAAGTGCATATATTAATACATATAATTAAAAAATTTTTATCTTTAATGAAAAAGTACTCTTGCAAAACAATGCATACAAATGTGTTATTTTCTTTTTTTGTTTTTGTTTTTGTTTTGAGACCGAGTCTTGCTGTGTCACCCAGACTGGAGTGCAGTGGTGCTATCTCACTGCAACCTCTGCCTCTTGGGTTTAAACGATTCTCCTGCCTCAGCCTCTGGAGTAGCTGGGTTTACAGGTGCCCACTACCATGCTTGGCTAATTTTTCTGTTTTTTAATAGATATAGGGTTTCACCATCTCTGATGTTTTGATAACAGGCAATGCATAAAGATTGGTCAGGCAGTCTCAAACTCCTGATCACTCAGGTGAGCCATCCAACTCGACCTTCCAAAGTGCTGGGATTACAGGCGTGAGCCACTGCACTGAAACGTATTATTTTCATATCCCTCCATATACATCTACTCTGTTCTTCATCTAGATGTATATTTAAAATGGGCAAACCTCTAGAGCCATCAGTGATTTTTTAGGTCATAGACTGCATTACTTGAGGGGCTTTGAACTTACTAGCCTCATCATCTTTGTTATCAGTAATATACTGCTTGTTTATATGTATGAGTTTGGGCCTAGGAACAAAGGATCCTTCTTGAGAACGTCCAACCTTTCATCTTTTATAAAATCGTTCCTAAATAAAATAGATCATTTCCAGAAGTGTGGAGGGTCTTCTCATCAAAACAGACCATTTTAGCCCATCTCAGCTTATTGTGCCTGTAGTTTAGCTTGCTTTATTTGTTGCTTAGGATCAGAATTCTGTACTTTTGTATTCAGCAATCCTTATATTTACCAAAGTATTCTGGATATGTCACCAACTACCATTCTTCTTTTTCTCTTTTTGCTAACAATTTGGCTTTCTTCTCAAATGTACCTTTTCTGTTCTTCTCCAATGGCTGAAATATGACATCTTCTCTGTCCCAGAGTTTCCCTATCTTGTTTCTCTTGAAATGGTTACTGGTCTGATTGTCTCCAGGTTTAGTGGAGTTTGGTCTTGAAGAACACTCTGTAGAGTCCTTTTACATTCATTTCTGTATTCCATTCATTTATTCAGCAAATATTTATTGTGTGTCTGCTATGCACAAGTCATATTTTCTTAATACCTTAACATTGATGAAATTTCTGATGAAATATCCTAATTTACTCTAAATCAGAGTAAGTGCAAAGGATGCCTAGTACCTAGATCTTGGTTTCTAAATACCATTTCCCACTAAAAGGAAAAAAATTAAAAAACCCAGTAATGGTGGTGCATACCTGTAGTCCCAGCTATTTCGGAGGCTGAAGTGGGAGGATTACTTGAGCCCAGGAGGTCAAGGCTGCAGTGAGCTGTGCTTACGCCACTGCACTCCAGCCTGGGCAACAGAGAGAGACCCTGTTTCAAAAGGAAAAGAAATTAAAAAGAAAACTCCCCAGATTATTTTAGTTTGTAGCCATGATTGAAAACCACTGCTAGCTGCTAACAGTGCTTGGTAGGTTTGATTGAGGGGAGAAAGAGGGGAAAAAAGATAGGAATTTAAGGAAGTTGTAGAATATATGACTTTGCCTGTTTGAGTACCCCTCTTTGGTCCTACGCAACTTTTTCCTCATTTTTATTACCTACATCTTATAAAAGCCATTAGCCACTTGTCATTCATTCCCAGCTTTTTCTGATTTTCTTTTGGAAATAGGTTTATTTCTTCTTTCTTCTGTTAACATTTTGTGTGCTTGGATGAACAACATGTCTATAATGATATGAAGGGATATAATTAAAATTAAATAGTTAAAATTTTAAAACTCTTCTAATTCTTCCAACCCTCAAAAGGGTCCTGGTGACCTTTTTATAATTCAGGCATTTGTAAAAGTTTGAGACTCCAGATTGAATCACTGCTGATAAATATCATACATAAAAAATTGGTAGACTGTGTTCCCTGTGCTTCCTGCAACACTCACCAGAACTGCCACTGAAATATATTCTTTAAATTTGTGCTGTTGGAATTGGAATAATTTCTGTTACATCCTGCTTTGATTCTGTAATACCTGCTGCTATTCACAATTCGGACTTTCTGAAACCCAGCTGTTTGTCCTTTACTGTTCCCGGAAGTGAATGAGAGGAACTCTAAGAGCTGGATTTGGCAGCATGGGACATGATAAAGGGTCCTATGAAGATGAAGAATGACTCTTTAAAGGGCTCAGCTCTTCTGGATGTGCCACTTTTGTAGCTGTTGATTAAATAGCAATTTTGGAGTAACTTTTTTTACCTTATCGTCCATGGATATTGAAATGAGAACTTATTAATTTCTTCCTTTCCACATAGTGATTTCAGGCAAATCATGTAGTGTCTGCCCCCACTGTTTCTACACTGCTGAATGAGATCTGGTTGAAAGGAACAATAGGAGCAGTCTTGAAGGTAGAGGATAGTCTTTGAAGCAATATGGTAGATGAGCTGGAGGGTATAGATGGAAAGTTGAGGTGGGAGTAGTCAACCTCTTTTTCACGGGCTTAGTGATTTTTTTCCTTTCCTTTTAAACAATGTTAGGGTTGTTACTTTCTTTTTTATTTTGGTTCCAGCATTTTGAAGATAGGTGAGTCTGGAGACCAGGCCTTAAAATAGTGATTACAGTCCCTGGCATTTTACAGTGCGGAGCCTAAGCAGTCATTCAAGATTGTACCTTTAGAAATGTCTCCCTTGTGTACCATTCTTGGTTTCAAGATTATTTTTGTTAGATTGATTGAATAGGAAGGGCCTTAAAGCCCATTAATTTATTAAAGTACTGATTAAAATAGTGATTCTTTTTTTTTTTTTTTTTTGAGACGGAGTTTCGCTCTTGTTACCCAGGCTGGAGTGCAATGGCGCGATCTCGGCTCACCGCAACCTCCGCCTCCCGGGTTCAGGCAATTCTCCTGCCCCAGCCTCCTGAGTCGCTGGGATTACAGGCACACACCACCATGCCCAGCTAATTTTTTGTATTTTTAGTAGAGACGGGGTTTCACCATGTTGACCAGGATGGTCTCGATCTCTTGACCTCGTGATTCACCCGCCCCGGCCTCCCACAGTGCTGGGATTACAGGCTTGAGCCACCGCGCCCGGCCTAAAATAGTGATTCTTAACATTGGCTGTGCATTATAGTCACTTAGGGGAGCTCTTAAAGATTATGAGTTTTCCTTGACATGCTGATTTATTTGGTCTAGAGTGCAGCTGTACTTTGTATTTCTCAGGTAATATTAATGTGTGGCCAGGGTTGAGGACCTTTGAATTCAAGGGTCAGGAGACATAGTGCTAAGCTCAACTTCGTCACTCACTGTGTGAACTTTTTTTTTTTTTTTTTTTTTTTACCAGAAAATAAACACCAACTTTATTAATATAATAGCAACAGAAAAGGTTTCCAATTTCTAAGAAGGAAATAACACCAGCTTTCTAAAAAGGAAATAACATAACACCAGCACAAGTGTTTAAAGTGTAAATGCCTACATTTCTTGTTCTGATAGCTTCCCACCACACACCAAAGGTTCCTTAAAGACAGTTGCCACCAGAGCTGCTGCAGGAACATGTTTTTCACTGGGCATAGCTTCACAGTCAACTCCTCAAGCAAAAGACTAAAATATTAATTCTTTTTAGAAGATCTTGGTTGTGGAAGAACATATCAATATGGAGAGAAGATCTTTGCTTCTCAAATTCAAGAAACACTACTAACTAATATATCAATTTTTCTCTGATACAGTGTGCCAGAGTGCTCTGTGAAGAATCCTTTTCCATCCATACCACATGTCTGGGTGAGAGGAGAGTGGCAAGCTGCCAGTACACTAGCAGGCACTCCTGGTGATGCTCTGGGCTCTGCTCCCTTTCTGCTGGTAGTAGTAGGCATCTTTTCTGGTAGCTGCAGCAACTCGATGTGGGGGGAAGGGAGGGGCCACCGACCAATCACCTCTTCTCGAAGCCATACTTTTTGCGTTCATAGAAGAGATCTGTCTTAGAGCTCCCCAAATTAACAATCTTTGGGCAGCCATCTCTATCCTTCTCCTGGATGGTACACTCCTTACAATAATAGGCATCAGAGACCCCAGGGCCTCCACAGATCACACAGCGCCCCTGGTAAGATCCATAGTTACACTCATCACATATGTGCACCAGAATGCAGGGACGCACATAGGAGTCACAAATCACACACACTTGCCATCACATTTTTCACATAGTCTTCCGATGGCAACGTCAGCCTGCTTGCGGCAAAAGATCAAATCAGGATGATGTTTAGCCATAGTTCCCAATGAAGCCGGCCGCCGGTCACTGTGTGAACGTTAAGCCTCATTTCTTAATCTGTAAAGCTGAGCATGGATAAATGGGATAATACGTGCCTGCTCCTTACCTACATTTATGTTCTTCTCCAGACTTTTAACATTCTGATGGAAGATCATCCTTCAGATAATGTTCTCTCTCCACTGTAGCTAGATATAATGAGATTTGCTTTTTTCCCCACTCCTGTGGTTCTTAAGGATCTGGATTGCATCTTTCTCTCTGGCCATAATTTAAAAGATTTTTAAAACTTACGGTAGTTTCTTTATCAGTGAGTCAAGTAATAATCTAGGGCTTTGAATTTTACATATTCTGTAATTTTAAAATAACCTTATTTCAGTTGCTGCCCTGCTATCCTGGTATTAGTTATTACATAGTGCAGTATTTTGCGCTAGATCTGTGGTCCTGGGACTTCACCAGTTTGTTCTCATCTCTTACAGGAGAAATATTTGAACTAAAAGCTGAACTCAACAATGAAAAGAAAGAAAAGAGAAAGGAGGCTGTGAAGAAAGTGATTGCTGCTATGACTGTGGGGAAGGATGTTAGGTAAGTGTAATCACCCTTGCCATTGGTCACTTTAGAGATCCATAACCCATCTTATGGCCTTTACTGCTTTTCCTTTAAAACTATTATAATCGTAGAACCTCTAAGAATGGGTTTGTCCCACGAAAAAGATCATCAGGAAGTGCAGTTGCTTTTGTATTGATGCTCTCCTTAAGTGGTGTTTCTTGTTTTAGGGTGTGTGTGTGTGTGTGTGTGTGTGTGTGTGTTTTAGAACAGTGAAATGAGTTTGATTTTTTTGCCCTCAAATCTATCATAACACCTCCTGAGAGCTGGCAAAGTTACAAATCTTTTGGCTGAGGTTGTTTAGAAGATGATAAAAATAAGGCCAGGCACGGTGGCTCACGCCTGTAATCCCGGCACTTTGGGAGGCTGAGGCGGGTGGATCACTTGAGGTCAGGAGTTTGAGATCTGCCTGGCCAACATGGTGAAACCCCGTCTCAAAAAAAAAAAGTAAAAAATTTTTTTTGTAATTTAATATTTTATTTATTTTATTAAGAAAAAAAAAGAAGATAAAAGTATACTGAGAGGCATAAGTTCACATTTCTTTATTTGGCTCAAACCATTGCCCTCAACTTTACGACTCTACATTCAGCTGCTGAATTCAAGATGAAAATCAATATTAACAAAGACCATTTAGCCTTATTTTTTCTGTAATTAAGACCATTTGGAAATAAGTAAGGATTGTATGCAAGCCCCTGAGGATTATCCTAAGACCCTTTCAGGGGGTCCGTGAGATCAAAGTTGTTTTCATAATAATACTTGGATGTTACTTGCCCTTTTCACTATTTTTATGTTTACACTGATGGTGCAAAGCAGTAGTGGGTAAAACTGCTGGTACCACAGCGTGAATCAAGGCAGTGGTGCCAACCATAATGGTAGTCATTGTATTCCTCACCATCATATGCTGAAAAAGAGCAGTTTCACTTAATCCTCCATGAGCAGTAAAAATTTGTTTTATTTATAAAACTTGAAACTTTTAAGTATTCTGTATAATGCAATAGGAATTACCCATAAAGCTCTTCTGCTGCATAGCAGTGTGATGGTCTACATGAGGAAAAGCCCTTGTGCAGTTGTTTGAATTGCAAACACCATTTTTATGTGAAAGAATGATTGACAAACTGTATTTAATTAGACTTTGGTATTTGGGAGATATTTTATCAAAAATGAACAAAGTGAACCTGTCACTTTAAGGGAAAAACATTGACAGTAGATACAGTTCAGGTTTTAAAGTAGAAATTAGAATTTCGGAAAACTGTCTCCCATCAAAGGCTTGACAGCTTCCTAATGCTTAAAGACTTTTCTGAGGAGATTAGGGTGAAGTTAATTATTGCAATTGTTTGCTGTTTTATAATGAAATGTGTCAGCACAGCTCAGTGAATCAATATTTTTCCAAATGACCAGAGCATATGTATATCACAAAATAATGCATGGATAAAAGATCTATTCAAAATACCATGTAGGCCAGGCGCAGTGGCCTATGCTTGTAATCTCAGTACTTTGGGAGGCCGAGGCAGGCAGATCACCTGAGGTCAGGAGTCCGAGACCAGACTGGCAGACATGGTAAAACTCTGTGTCCACTAAAAAAGATACAAAAAAAAAAAAAATAGCCGGGCGCGATGGCACGTGCCTGTAATCTTGGCTACTCTGGAGGCTGAGGCAGTAGAATCGCTTGAACCCAGGAGGCAGAGGTTGTAGTGAGCTGGGTTTGCACCACTGCACTCCAACCTGTGCAACAGAGTAAGACTCTGTCTCGAAAAAAAAAAGCTGTGTAAATGTGTGGATTTTAGTACAACCAAGTACAAAAAGTTTATTGATAAGGTTTCAGATTCTACATTGCAACTAACTTTTAAGAAACTGCATTTTTTAGACTCAGAAAGAGGAAAACCACTATTTGTCTTGATTGATTGATCGATTGATTTGAGACAGGTCTCACTCTGTCACCCAGGCTGGAGTACAGTGGCGCGAACTTGGCTCACTGCAACCTCTGCCTCCTAAGCTCAAACGATTCTCCTGCCTCAGCCTGCCAAGTAGCTGGGATTACAGGTGTGTGCCACTACCACCTGGCTAATATTTTTGTATTTTTAGTAGGGACAGGGTTTCACCATGTTAGTCAGGCTGGTCTTGAACTTCTGACTTCAAATGATCCACTTGCCTTGGCCTTCCAAAAGTTCTGGGATTACAGGTGTTAGCCACTGTGCCTGGCCTGTCTAGTTTTGTGTAGCATCAAGAATACTTAGTTATAACCAAAAAAAAAAAGGAGAAAGAAAATAAGGAATATCTAGTTATATGAAAAACTATTAAAATATTATTTCCGGGCCGGGCGCTGTGGCTCACGCCTGTAATCCCAGCACTTTGGGAGGCCGAGGCGGGTGGATCACGAGGTCAAGAGATCAAGACCATCCTGGTCAA